TTATTTCTTCATTCTATTCCCTTTTCCCTTTAATTCTATTCAAGCCAAATTTCCCAGGGCCCAGTGTTATCAATTCGTATAGACACTTTTATCCTGTATTATATTCAACGCAAACAACTTTAGAAATTTAGAACGGATTCTTATCCCACAGCAAATAACAGCAAAGCGCACAAACAAGTTCTTAACGGTGCATCCCCCAACGCACACACAGTCACACGAACTGACCAGCGCCCAAAGTTGTGAGAAAGCTCACCTTATCTGCCGGCCTCTTGAGTGGGAGTCATTTCGCAGCCCATGATGGAACGTTGAAACAGATGCAACACGTTCCAAAATCCTTGTCACCAATTCTCTGTGGTGTCGAGACAACGATGCTGATATGCTGTGTTGATAAGAAATCCGTTGACACTGTACTTTGATTATAAAGGTTTATTATATCAAAAGATTACAGCGTCAATTTACAGACTTTTGCAGAGTCTGGAGAACAACTAACCCAATCTCAAATATGATTATTCTCCCCGTCCTTTGTTGAAAACCTGGTATATATCCTATGTAACATAAGATGGGTGGTTTTAGATAGACCATCCCCTGGCCTCTCACATATCCAAGTGTCCTCTATTTCAGGGGGGCCCTATAGTAATGCTTTCCAGATGTTTCAGTAAGGCAGAGTAATGCTAATTTAACCAACAATATGAAAACCTCAGCCAAAGCTATAACTACAAAGTCTCTCACTGTTGTCGCTTGCTACAGACCCCCCTCAGCCCTGAGCTGTGTCCTGGACACCATATGTGAACTGATTGCCCCCCATCTATCCTCAGAGTTCGTACTGCTTGGTGACCTAAACTGGGATATGCTTAACACCCCGGCCAACCTACAATCTAAACTAGATGCCCTCAATCTCACACAAATTATCAACGAAGCTACCAGGTACAACCCTAAATCTGTAAACATGGGCACCCTCATAGATATCATCCTGACTAACTTACCCTCTAAATACACCTCCGCTGTCTTCAACCAGGATCTCAGCGATCACTGCCTTATTGCCTGCGTCCGTAATGGGTCCGCAACCCCTCATCACTGTCAAACGCTCCCTAAAACACTTTAGCGAGCAGGCCTTTCTAATTGACCTGGCCCGGGTATCCTGGATGGATATTGACCTCATTCCGTCAGTAGAGGATGCCTGGTTGTTCTTTAAAAGTGCCTTCCTCTCAATCTTAAATAAGCATCCCCCATTCAAAAAATTCAGAACTAAGAACAGATATAGCCCCTGGTTCTCCTCAGACTTGACTGCCCTTGACCAGCACAAAAACATCCTGTGGCGTACTGCATTAGCATCGAACAGCCCCCGCGATATGCAACTTTTCAGGGAAGCCAGGAACAAATATACACAATCAGTTAGGAAAGCAAAAGCTAGCTTTTTCAAACAGAAATGTGCATCCTGTAGCACTAACTCCAAAAAGTTTTGGGACACTGTAAAGTCCATGGAGAATAAGAGCACCTCCTCCCAACTGCCCACTGCACTGAGGCTAGGAAACACTGTCACCACCGATAAATCTACAATAATCGAGAATTTCAACAAGCATTTTGCTACGGCTGGCCATGCTTTCCACCTGGCTACCACTACCCCCGCCACCAGCTCTGCACCCTCCGCTGCAACTTGCCCATGCCCCCCGCTTCTCCTTCACACAAATTCAGACAGCTGATGTTCTGAAAGAGCTGAAAAATCTGGACCCCTACAAATCAGCTTGGCTAGACAATCTGGACCCTTTCTTTCTAAAATTTGCTGCCGAAATTGTCGCAACCCCTATTACTAGCCTGTTCAACCTCTCTTTCGTAACGTCTGAGATCCCCAGAGATTGGAAAGCTGCCGCAGTCATCCCCCTCTTCAAAGGGGGTGACACTCTAGATCCAAACTGTTACAGACCTATATCCATCCTGCCCTGCCTTTCGAAAGTATTTGAAAGCCAAGTTAACAAACAGATCACCGACCATTTCGAATCCCACCGTACCTTCTCCACTATGCAATCCGGTTTCCGAGCTGGTCATGGGTGCACCTCAGCCACGCTCAAGGTCCTAAACGATATTATAACCGCGATCGATAAAAGACAGTACTGCGCAGCCGTCTTCATCGACCTGGCCAAGGCTTTCGACTCTGTCAACCACCGCATTCTTATTGGCAGACTAAATAGCCTTGGTTTCTCAAATGACTGCCTCGCCTGGTTCACCAACTACTTCTCAGATAGAGTTCAATGTGTCAAATTGGAGGGCCTGTTGTCTGGACCTCTGGCAGTCTCTATGGGGGTGCCACAGGGATCAATTCTCGGGCCGACTCTATTCTCTGTGTATATCAATGATGTCGCTCGTGCTGTTGGTGACGCTCGGATCCACCTCTATGCGGACGACACCATTTTGTATACATCTGGCCCTTCATTGGACACTGTGTTAACAAACCTCCAAACGAGCTTCAACGCCATACAACACTCCTTCCGTAGCCTCCAACTGCACTTAAACACTAGTAAAACTAAATGCATGCTCTTCAACCGAACGCTGCTTGCACCCGCCCACCCGACTAGAATCACTACTCTCGGCGGGTCTGACCTAGAGTATGTGGACAACTACAAATACCTAGGTGTCTGGTTAGACTGTAAACTCTCCTTCCATACTCACATTAAGCATCTCCAATCAAAAGTTAGATCTAGAATCGGCTTCCTATTTCGCAACAAAGCCTCCTTCACTCATGCTGCCAAACATGCCCTCGTAAAACTGACTATCCTACCGATCCTTGACTTCGGCGATGTCATTTACAAAATAGCCTCCAACACAAATTAGATGTAGTCTATCACAGTGCCATCCGTTTTGCCACCAAAGCCCCATATACTACCCACCATTGTGACCTGTACGCTCTTGTTGGCTGGCCCTCACTACATATTCGTCGCCAAACCCACTGGCTCCAGGTCATCTATAAATCACTGCTAGGAAAATCCCTGTCTTTTCTTAGCTCACTGGTCACCATAGCAACACCCACCCGTAGTCTGCGCTCCAGCAGGTATATCTCACTGGTCATCCCCAAAGCCAACACCTCCTTTGGCCGCCATTCCTTCCAGTACTCTGCTACCAATGACTGGAATGAACTGCAAAAATCTCTGAAGCTGGAGACTCTCATCTCCCTCACTAACTTTAAGCATCAGTTGTCAGAGCAGCTTACCGATCACTGCATCTGTACACAGCCATTCTGAAATTAGCCCACCCAACTACCTCATCCCCATATTGTTATTTATTTTGCTAATTTGCACCCCAGTATTTCTATTTGCACATCATCTATCATTCCAGTGTTAATACGAAATTGTAACTATTTTCGCACTATGGCCTATTTATTGCCTTACCTCCATAACTTACTACATTCGCACACACTGTATATATATTTTCTGTTATATTTTTGACTTTATGTTTTGTTTACCCCATATGTAACTCTGTGTTGTTGTTTTTATCGCGCTTTATCTTGGCCAGGTCGCAGTTGTAAATGAGAACTTGTTCTCAACTGACTTACCTGGTTAAAACAAATTACATGACCCTCCGCTGGACTAGATTTAAGAAATACTAAACCCTACCCTTGACTGAAATTGAAAAAGCATGACCCTCCCCATTTTCCTCCAGGTAACCATTCTGTAAATTTTGAACCATCCATTGCAGTCTATGGCTGGAGGAAACTGTGCAGACAAAGTCTGAGCTATCGGATTGGCTAGTGGTAGGCCTATAGGTGCACTTGATTTGCTCTCTGGGCCTGCCGGGTAGGCGGAGTTCTACCTTTAGACACATGAAATGGTTAAAAATTGGAACACTTTGCCTTCCTGGCACTAGGGCTGTTGAATCAAGTGTACCTATCACCAACAGTGATACATTTTTTTTTTTTTTTTTTTTTAAAGCAAGGCTTTATCGTTGGGTTTTTTACAGAATTGTTTGGTGATATACTAGGAATTCCTTGGAGATTGCGATCGACTGGTTGGTGACCACTGGCCTAGTCAGATCCCAAATCTAACACACACACAGACACGTGACAGGACTCGAGTGGCCCTGTTACCACAGTAACCTCTTGCCCATAAAGGGGCAGTTGAAATTTTTTTTTCGCTGATATTTTGATAAAAAATGTAATGAAATTGAGCAATATACCACATTACTTCTTACTAATACATTTCTTGTTTTTGAAAACATTACAAAGTATGGTCCTACTTATTTTTTTTTTAATGTAGTTATGGCGAAAAAACATTTTGCTGGTAAATAATCTGAGCGGCTGGTAGATGCTATAAACTACCTGCCACAGTGGCTGGTGGACCAAAAAGTTAACTTTAGGCCCTGTTAGCATCGATCCTCCACTCCATCCAACATAACAGATGCACTATGCAGAAATCGCTCTTCCATTTCCTGGTTTCAGTTTATGTGACAAAGCAAGCAAGTATACTGTAGAGAATCCTTGTACCATCTAAACCACTGTGAAATATATTTTCCATAATCTAAAATATTGTATTTTCAGCTGTTTGAAGCTGGTGTACAAAACCAAAAGACGCAAAAACGAAACCTAAGACTGGGAAGCATAGAAACAAAGCACAAAGCACACATCTACTGCTTCTTAGACTATAACTAACATTTCTATGTGAATTTGGTCAGGTTGCTCAAAAAGTTACATATTGCAACTTTAATATAGAGCAGATTAACAAAGTAGTAGGCTATAAGGCTAACCTCGCCTATTGCCTAATGTATGATATTTTTTTGTGATTAAAATAGAACATTTGGCTTTAATATTCTAAATATGATTTAGACTAATTAAAGGCCTATTATGATTCATTAATTGGGTATTGCCTTTGAGAGACTATAACTCACTCATAGACCTATTGATTCCATAGACCTATTGATGAAATAAATTATTATCCAATATCCACGGAATTCCTGAACACGTGATGCTGCTGAAGAAACTACTCATCCCACAATGCTATAAAGCCATGGAGTTCTTTGTCCAACCACGTCGTGCACCTACCCGCTGAGCAAGTATTTTGATTGGTGTGGCTATCTCCGTACGGTTATTGGTAGAAAGTAGCCTGCAGATTAGATTTTACCCCCACATTCAACTCAATACCGCTGTAGAAATGTGATGGATTAGAAAAATATGTGCCTCGGTTGTCAACATGTTCCCCGGCGTTTTCTATGCGCTCCTGGCGGGGTTTCTCGGGGCTGTCGCATCTTCATCTGCAAAACTGTCACTTGGAGCCGATTACCTTAAAGGTGTATGTGAAACGGGGCTACGAACATGGGGAGAGCAGCGGAAATTTAGACAACCGGACGAAACTACCGCGTGTGACTGGGTGAGGAATCGCCGCCGTTTAAGTGCCTGAATTATTAACGTGATGGGATTCGGGTGGCTTTGAATAATGTAAATGTCAATGTGTTATCATAGCAATTTTGTGTTAGCATAGCAATTCGTCCGCGAAAAGAGAAGTTGCGGGTTTTCCAGTGATGAGTTTGGGGCTCCTGATTCCAGCTCGTGCGCTCAGCATCTCGCTCTGCTGGACAGGCGCATGCTGTGTGTCAAGCTCGTGTCGTATCCGCGTGCTTCAACGACATTGCAGCTCGTGCAACCTAGTGCAGTGTTACATCATATATTTTTGTGTTAAAGCAAGATATTTTCTTATATGTTGCGTATCATTTTATTCTAGTGGCCGAATGTGATCCTGGTTTAACATATGGGCAATTTTCCATTCAATGTCAATACCATATTGTAATTAGGCTGCTTGAAATGACCTTCATAACGTTTGCACGTGGTGACTGACATGATTTTATGTTTGAGTTATCAGCCATATTATTTATTTATATAGCCGTCAGATATTAATTTTTTTACATACATTTACATATCAAGATAAATAACTAAATTAGGCCCCAAATCCCTGGAATGGAGCTCAACTATTTGATGTGACTCATTTGCAAAATAACATTGTTTTCATTCATATAGACCACTTCCAAGTACAAGACACACCGACGTCACGCACAGATGCATGATACTCTTGGAGGCAGTAAAAAGCCATCACCATCTGTGCCCATTCAACATTGCCTAGATTTACGTTTTTATTACTTCTAAACAAAATAACTTTTTGGGGTTCTCATAGGCTTACAATGATGTTTAGATTCTGGCTTGAACAGTCGCAAAGATTATATTTGGTTGTGATCTTTGCAAATTAAATATTTTGGATGCAGCAGTTGTTAGCTAGAATGCTAACACTCATTGAAATAGGCTGTAGCAAAAGCTAACCAAAGAGCCATTTTACTGGTTGAAGTTGAAGTGTTTTTTAAAGTAAAATGCAGTTGATTTGCGATGATGACACAAACATTATATTAAGCAGGACATTCATACGAGCCTTAAAATCCAATTATAATCCAAAAGTAGTGTGAAATGCACTCATAAGCAACATGTAAATAGAGGCTTTTTTTGCTGGCGTTCTATAAGAACTCCCCCTTGTTCTGCCACCAACTTGCTCACATCGCCCTAGTGCGGCCAATGTTTGCAAACACAGAAAGGGGTCTATTGTGTTTGTTTCAGCTACACATCCCACTGAGGCTTCTGTGTGGGGGGCTGCTCTTCACCTGTAATGCTGTGATGTGGACATTCCTCGCTAAGGCTCTCAGGTACTCTTCCTCCTCCACCCAAACCACTGTGACCACCACTGCTTCCAACTTCATATGTTCCGTAAGTACATATTTCCCTGTGGAAAATACACTTACAATTATTTAAATAATGTATAGGCCTAATAGTCTACAGGTGTAGGGTTTGAATTAATAAATGTAACACAGATTTTCTGTTTTAAGTGCTGTCAATAATACAGAGAAATAAGTGTAATGACTGGTGCACTAAATTTAAATACCTGTATTTTGCCACAGGCCTTTTTGGGGCAGCTTATCTTCGGGGAGACCCAGATTGCGTTGTGGTGGGTGGGAATCTCCCTCACGTTCTCTGGCCTCCTGGTACTTCAGAGGGCGGCGCCCAACGACCGAGCCAGGAAGGACGAATAACAACCGGTTGGAAGGGACAACTAAATAACTGATATAGAAAGAAACCAGAAATGCAACCTATAGCCTACTATCTGTGACAAACAATATTATTTCTACAGTGAATGGCAACTTTGGAAGGTAAAGCACTCACGTGAAAACATACCATGTAAGGAACATACAGTGATTTTTTTGTTTGAAACACTGACATCATCAGCAATGTGTGCATGACATTAATACTACACCATGCTACAGATCACAAAAGCTGTATTTTGCTCACATATCCTAAGATGACACTCACTGTAAACTTCCACACCAACATTGCATTATTGCATGTTCAAGGTGATGTGTGAATGGAAGTGGTCTCACAAATGCTGCTACTGCTAGATATACGCAAATACAGCAAACACATTGATATTCTCAGAGTTTATTACTGTATTATACATGATGTGGCTCAGAATACACATCATGGCCTTGTTAGGAACTTCTCAGTTGTATCATGTTTATAGCCTCATATCTTGAGGACTTGGCCGTTACAGTGTTTTGACATGTTTTGTGAATTCTGGGGAGGTTTGGCCTTGCCTGCCTTTATAGCAAATGTCTAACAGAAAGTTCCTAACAAGGTCTAAACCCAAATAAGTCAAACCAAAGTACACAAATATGTTGATCCTGCCTTTTACCCACTGTAACCACAGCAGTGGCTCTGTCAATGCATTGTGAAGTCAAACTGCTAAGTGGCCCAAAGAATCATAGTGACCTCAGCTGCCTGTAAAGTGATACTGTCTAGTTCACTCCAAAATCTAAATTTGTCAGACATATTCAAACCTCAAAAGTGGTCTAATGTCAAGATGAGACAAACTCGGAAAGGATAGGCACAGTCTAATTTCATCTTTTTTAGATGGTGCCTGTCTTTCCAATTCATTTGGAGTTGAGGCACAGTGCTGGATCTACACAGCAGACGGCCTTGACATTAGCCGACGTCTGACCCCAACTAACATTTTGGAGTGAACTATCCCTTATTCCCTTTGGCAGAAGAGACTAATTTGATTTAATTCTGACCTAATGGGGTGCCCAAACAACAGTTACTCCAATGTCTGGCCTTTTAATTGAGTGTCACCAGCTGTTTGTCTTCCAGCTGTAGGCCTGTATCATCAACAATGTCTATCCTAGTTTTCCATTGCAATTCAAATCAGTTTGAGGTTATCCTCGGGGTAAGGGAGCCATCAGGTAGCACAGTCCCTCGCTCTGCATCTTCCAAGACTTCCAAAGGGTCAAATGTTGCTGTGGGGTTTCTAACCCACCTACTGAAAGTAGTGTTTATTACTAGCATGCTTGTCCTCCAAGAGTGTACTTGCCTGATATTCCTTAACACTGTGATGTACTATTGTGGAAATTGGCTTTTTGCGTAATACTGACAACAAACGTTACTATAGACTAGAGTTTGACTTTACGATACGATCACACTTTGCTGTTTAAAAAAAAAATACATATCATATGCATGCAACAACCAATGGTAGCTACCGGTATTCTGACTGTAGCTACTAGACGATGATATGTCTCTATAAATGCAGAAGAATGCACACTATGAAATCAGCTCTCCTTCCAGTTACAGTACATTACAGACTGCAGGTTTTGTATGTAATGTAATCTACTTCCCTGGCAATGTGACTATCTATGCTATTGAATCAGGATGGGAGACATTGGTGCTGACATTTCTCCTGTGATCTTCAGTCAGTCTAAACTGAGGATAAACATCTACCTGTGAAGCCACTGTCACTAAGGGCAAGAGAAATCAATGCATTAGAATAGTGGTTTCATTAAATGTTTCTTTTATCGCCAGCCCCTGAATGGGACACGTTTGTTTTAACCATTATACTGTAGATATTGATATCATATGATAAACTGTAGAGATTTGTTTGGGAGGTGCAAATGACTGACCTGATAAGATGTGTGTTCCAGATTAGTGCAGCACTGGGGCCCTACTAGGGGGATAAGGAAAGGCAATGTATTATAAACAAAAATGCATTATTAAAAGAGTCCTTGAAATGGTTACTTGGACAATCCACCTCCCCATCCTTTGAATATGTTGCTTGGCTCTTAGTAAATGGTGTATGATAAGGGAGGAAGTCTCAGAAAATGGCTGTTAGCCAATATAATTTGATTGTCACACACAGACACAGCAGCAGTATGTGCTAACTGTTAGTCATCACTTCTTGGACAACATGGGGAGAGAGAAACAGGTGTTTGGGCAGACTTCAATATCTTTGTCTGCGCTGGTAAGAAATATGAACCATTCATATCTAGTCTAATATAACTTATTTTAAACGAACATTTGTAAGTGTAAATATTTTCTATTTACAGAAAATATTATGGACATGTGTAAGCGCTCATCCAAATATGAGATGGTGCACAATGTTGAATAAACCTCTCATCTAGGAAAGTGAACTGCTGTTATTTGTTCATTCATTATTCTAAATGACTCATCTAAAACTCCAAGAGACTCATCTAAAATTAAACTACCGTCAATGGAAAGAGATACACATACAGGCAGAATTTATAAGGTTACAAGTCCAGTAAATTTCTCAGATTAGCTAATAAATTGATTGTCAAAAAAAAAAAAATTGTATTTGTCAAATGCGCCGAATACAACAGTGAAATGCTTACTTACAAGACCTTAACCAACAATGCAGTTCAAGAAATAGAGTTAAGAAAATATTTACTAAATAAACTAAAGTAAAAAATAAAAAGTAACACAATAAAATAACAATAACGAGGCTATATACAGGAGGTACCAGTACCGAGTCAATGTGCAGGGGTACAGGTCAGTCGAGGTAATTTGTACATGTAGGTAGGGGTAAAGTGACTATGCATAGATAATAGGGGTGTAACGATCCATCTACTACATCGATGTATCGATTTATATTCCTATGATCCAACTACATCGATCTGTGCTCGGCGAGTTGGCCTTTTGGACAACATATATGGATCTAACATCGTTTTAAAATGTAATAAATCGATTGTATCGATACTAGGAAATAACCCATTGGATTTAAGCACGTCAGACTTTATATGGATGTTTTTTCTTAGCACTTTTAATGATAAAGGCTTTAAACATTACTCGATTCAGTCTGCCTATCCGTGACGTCATCGCGCCAACAGCAGCGCAAAGACAACCAAACATAGCATGGCGAACTACAGAGGAGAAGCCGACGAGCGAGAAATTATCAAGCCACCATTGCGGTCCAGTGTGTGGAAACACTTTGGCTTTTGCAAAGACGGAGATGTTCTAAATAAGTCGCTCGCTGTTTGTAGGATATGTAAAGGTCAAGTAAAGTACAACGGCAACACGACAAATCTCTCCAACCACCTACTAAGGCGCCATGGGATTTCACACAACACCGACCGTCCAGGCACCTCTTGCAGCGTTCCCGCTGCTACAGCAGCGAAAGGTAAAGTCAACTCTGCAGAAGCCTCAGGTCTCGCCTGCATGTTTAGTCAGAGACTAGGCCAAAACTCAGCTCGGGCGAAAAACATCACGGCAACAATTGCCAAGTTTATCTGCAAAGACATGCGACCCTACAGTGTGGTTGAAAATCCGGGATTCCATGAAATGATTCAAACATTGGAGCCAAGGTACACAATACCAAGCCGACCACACTTCTCAGAAAAGGTTATTCCTGCATTGTACGAAAGTACTAAGAATGATGTGAAGCTGTCGCTTTCTCAAGCTGAACGAGTAGCGATAACGACAGATGGCTGGACGTCATGCTCAAATCAAGGGTATGTGACAATTACCTCTCATCACATTGATCCGGAGTGGAAAATGAAGACCTTTGTTCTGCTAACCAGAGTTTTAAATGAAGCCCATACTGGTAAAAATATTGGCGCGTTACTGCGTGAAGCCTGCATGGAGTGGAAAATCTACGACAAGAATCCTGCCATCGTCACAGATAACGCCAGGAATATGATTGTGGCCGGTGCAGAAGCCCAGTTCAGTCCACACATTACCTGCTTCGCACATACACTCAACCTTGCCTCGCAGAAGGGTTTGGGGGTGGACCGTGCTTCCAGGTTGTTGGGGAAAGTGCGAAATATTGTTGGATATTTTCACCGCAGCCCGATTGCATGTCACGCCGTAGAGGAAAAACAAACTCTGATGGATTTACCAAAACATAAACTGATCCAAGACATAATCACCAGATGGAACAGTTCATTCGAAATGCTTGAACGTTTTTTGGAACAACAGCCAGCTATAATGGCAACTCTGATGTCCAAGGATCTACGAAAGAGGGGTCACAGATGTAGGCACGCTGAGTGAGAGTGATATTGCCAACATGGATGACATTGTTCAGTTGATGGGTCCTGTCAAAATGGCAACCACTGTGATGTGTGAAGAAGACCAGCCAACTCTCTCTGTAATTGCTCCTCTTCAAGCAAAACTGCTGAAACACCTACAGCCATGCGAAGACGACTCAACCCTGGTTGCAGAGATTAAGAGGGTGATGGCCAGTGACCTCTCCACACGCTACAGAGGCACCCAAGATGCTCTCAACATAGGTAATTAATTTGGAGTCTTAATTAAAATCAACTTGGTTAATATTTTAGGTTATTAGACTGTATTAATTTGTAAAATGCCACACCTTTGCGTTTTCATTTAATTGAGTTTTGTACAATTACATTA